CCCCAAAACCCCAAAACCCCAAAACCCCATCGATATAAATTACTCAACATCAGAAATATGTGAAATTAGATTAAAAATGGAATAATCAATTTTAAATAAAGATTAATTAATTTATACTTCCCACAATAAAATGAATTTCTAACAGTCTAATAAGGTTTCTCAAATTAGATCGCAAATAAACGTTGCTGTCCATACTCTCCTAGCTAAGCACTTGCCCACTGATCTTAAGAAGAGTAACATACAACCTTCATTAAAAGTAATCTATTATAGACTCAATTTAACTTGAATCCCCCTCGGATATTCTGTATTCGAAAACAAGAAACTTGTATGTGATTGCAAACTTAGGCAATAATACCATATCCTTGCTCGATGCCAAGGATCTCAACTTGAAGACTACGTTTGGAATAGCTTATAACAATTCTGTAAATGGAATGGGGAACACTGCCAGTAGCAGCACCAGATCATCTCTGAACATGAAGACTATAGATGGGTTTCATAGGTAAGATTATTGACATTTTGCATAATTTAATGCATATCTGAGTATAGTGCTTGCTGCTTCAATCAGCCTCATGGCTTAGCATTCTCTAAGGATGAGAACTATATATTCGTAGCTGATACCGATCATCACTCAGTGAGGATCATTGACATAGACAACTAGATTTGCTCTACAATTGCAGGTGACTATAAATAAAGGTAAGGGCATATCTCATTTATTCGGGAATCTGCTATTATCAATCACTTGAATAACTCATTAAATTAATAGAGGACAGATTGCTATGGGGTTATTAGATAATACATTGCTGGAGGAGCCTCGAGGTCTCTGCTTAGACTCTTATGGAAATATCTTCGTAACTTGCAAGTCTGCAGTCGTCTATCTTGATTTGGAGAGGTAGATATCGTAGCTGATTGCAGGTGATGTTCGATAATTTGGCTTTAAGGATGGTAACTTTAAGACTTCAGCCATGTTTGATCACCCAGATGGAATAGTAAGTCTTGTTGATTCAACTGGCAGTCCTATGCTGAACGGGATACTATTAGTTGCTGATACCTATAATCATAGAGTAAGGCTGCTGGATTTGGATAATTAAAAAGTGTCCACTCTATGTGGCACTGGCATTGTTGGTGATCCTGGCCATGTAGATGGAGCCTGTGCCAGATCTAAGCTGAACTTTCCGTAAAAGCTAATTGTTGAAATTACTTAAGACAAGAAGATACTCTATATAACTGAGTTGAATGATTGCATCAGAGTGGTTGACTTAGACAAGAGAGAGATTGAAACACTGTGTGGAGGATTCTATAATAAAAACGGCCTTAAGGATGGAGATGGCAAAGAAACTCTTATGAATTTCCCTTATGGAATTGCATGTATAGAACCTAGAAAGAAATATATCATAACTGAATCAGATAATCACAGTTTAAGAATAATAGAATTCAAGGAACCCTAGATTAAGCAAATATAACCATATGAAACAGGCCAACAGTAGAATCTGTTTTAATAGATTGAGGACAAGTATTTAAAGCACTCTACTAACTCAATGGGCAATCCTGTGTTTGCCTAGAACGAGCAAATTTTAGCTTAAAATCTTATAAGTAATAAGGATAGACTAGCAGATGAATAAAGAAGGTCTTATGGATCAGATGGCTCAGTTGAGGTAATGACGAACAAGACAAGCGTCGTGACTCCAAGGTTTAATTAGTCTACCTATTAAATGCTAATGAGTGTGCAGAAATCTTCTGCTGGTTCTGTCACTGAGACTGTTCTGCAATTGATATAGACATATATGAGTACAAGTGGGATCTCAAAGGATTTAAAAGTTAAAGATACCTTGAATGCTATCTCTCATATCTTATGTATAATTCTGCAGATTACTGATCTGCCTCAGGATGAAGATTTTACCATCATTCTTAAAAACACTCTGTTTCTGATTGAAAACATTCCTGAATGCGATCCTTAGGAGCTGACACCTTAAGATGCTCTGGACATTGCGACCTTGGTATCTTAGTTGTCTCTGAGATCTGAGGTAAAACTCCCAGGGATTAGGTCTCTATTCTAGTGGATAGTTGACTTTGAGAAAGCTGTGGCTTACCTTAATACCAAAGCAAGCACAATCCTTTAAAATAAGGGGTCTCCCACTTAATCTAATGGCAGTCAAAATCCATATGCGTAAATAAACCAGAATGAAAACACCAGATATCAACAGCATTCATAATCAGTCACTAATGATAAAGAGAATAACGAGAGACGGTATCATTAACAGCAGTACTATCATTCCCAGTATGCTGAGAGCTACATCCTAGAAGACTCAAAGGAAGATGAGAAAAGTGAGATTTTAGACAATCCATATTAGTAATAGCTTTAAATCCAACAGCAGCAACATCTATAATAGCTAGCTGAGTAGTAAAAGTAGAATTAACAACAACAGCAGTAATAAAAGGTGCTATTAACTGACCATCTAAAATAAGAGGAATAACTAAGAGAAATAGATTTTGATGATGACAATAATTAATTTGATTCATAACCTTCAACAAGAAGATCTTAGCAAGATGAATTTTAATAAATTGTATATGAGTAAATTTAGCAGCAGATTTAACTTTAACAATAATAAGTTCAACAGCCAGTAAAGTAATAGTAACAACAGACTCCATTGTTTAAATAGCAGGCAATCAATAGTAACTAAAGCTAGACTCATTCTACCTCTGCATTTTAACAGACCAATTAATAGCAACCTCTATCAGACAGATAAGTGCCTTCAACTTAAAAGAAGAATGCCACTGAGTAAAGAATTCAGCCTTAGTCAAACCATTAAAAGCTGCAGCAATTGAAACAGTCTCAAACTTAAAACAATAAAAATACCAATGTAATTTCTCCAAAGCCCTTAGGAAGAGATAGTAATACTAGCTCACTATAGAATTCAAGATCAAACGGTAATACTATGAAATAAATAGATCAAAATAAAGGTTTAAGCAGTGTCATCAGCCCAAAGCATAATCTTAACAGTCAGAATAATTCACAGTAAATAATGAGTCAGAAATCAGGCGCAAACAATAGTGTCAGTAATTTGCTTTAGCAAAAGCAGAATGCTCAATAAGAGACTGTTCCTAAGAAAGACTATGAAAATGTAGTTAAAGAGAATAAAGAGTTGAAGGACGAGAATGAAAAGCTAAAAGCCAAAATAGAAAAGATGAAGCTAGAGTTCGTTTAGATGTCTGAGATGATGGAGGAGATTATTTCTACTGATAGGGATTTTTCCCCACGTACTGATTGAAATTACCAATACAGGAATCATCAATTAATCTATAAATCTTTAGAGATTACTTCATATGGATATTATAAATATATTGACCTTGATTTCATCAAATTCACAACATTTATGCTCAATATTGGCTCCTGGGGTTTTGGGGTTTTGGGGTTTTGGGGTTTCGGGGTTTTGGGGTTTTGGGG